GGTCTCCGAGACGCTTCTGGGCCGGCGCCCCCGGGTCACACAGAGGTGAGAAGGGCGTCTCACACGCCTCTCTAAACTGGGGACTTTTTTATCCCTCGGGAGGCGGAATATTCTCGTCGCCTTGACCTGGACTAGTACTGACCGTGCTAAGGAGCCCTTTCATTCCGACCGGGCCACGGAACCTGGAGCCCCCGTGGTCCTTCCAGAGGTACCCTCTTGCATGGACTCCAGAAATAACACCCTTCACACCCGTCCTAGTTCCATTAACAGCAAACCCTGGGCCCTACTAACTCCTTTCCGCCCCATCCCCTTTGTGACTCCAGACTGACTCCTCGGAGGGCAGCAGGGCTGACACAGGGATTGGCTCACTGGCTCTCTACCCTAACCTTGGGTCCCTAAGTGGCGATCCCTTAAGAAACGGGGAGCAACTGTTCCCAGGCTTGCAGACCACGACTATCCCCGGCCAGGAGAGCTCAGCTGCCTGGGCAGGAAGACCCAGTGTGTCTAAGGCTGGGTGCGGGCAGCTGCTTGCTGCGACTCCTGCAGCTTCTCAGCTGGTCTTGGAGGTTGGAGTCTTAGGTCCCACTTCAAAGGCGTCCTGGCCCATGCTTTCGGCCAGTGCCTTAGTTTACTTAGTTCAGCAACCACTCTTTCACTCCTTATTTGTTCCACAAGGGCACAAAGAACAAATCAGACTCAGCCCCTGCCATGGAGCGGCTTCCAGCCTTCAGGGAAGGGGAGCAGGTGGGACTGGGAAGAACTGGGGAGGTCAGGCCAGGCTCCAGGGGCAGCTGGCCTGGGAAAGAGGCTTATTGATCCCAGCCCAATCGAACACAGGATGCCTAGTCAAAGGGTGATTTAATTAAGGAAATACGGCTCTTATTTACCTGTTGGCACTTGCTAACTGTGCAGACAGCTGTCCCTAGATCTCCGCTGGCGGCCTGGTATAGAACTGTGCCATAGACAGCTCTCTTCATTGGGCCAGGGCAGTCCCAATCCCGCCGCATCAGAGCCAGTGTGTGGTGGAAAAGGCTTGTGAGGATGTAGAGGGGCAAGGGCAGAGCCAGGATGAAAGGATGGAAGAAGGCCAAGTGGAGGGGGGGGGAGAGAGAGAGAGGCACAGTTAAATCAGAAACAGAGGTAAAAACAGAGACAGAGAGGGCTGGAGTCTAGGGTCAAGATGGCACCTTCTCCTGCCAGTGATTGATCTGGGTTATTCCTTTAAATCGAAGCTACTTCCCCTTCCATCACCGAGTAAGGCAGAGATGAGTGTTTGAGAGTGTCCTTCGAACTCCAGCCAGTGAGCCCCACCCTTCAGTGCGGGAGGTGGCCCGGCCTGGTGCAGCTCAGCTGGCTTATATTCAGATCCCCAGGACACAGGCTCTCAGGGAGCTCCACCCCAGTCCCCGGAAATGATGAACAGAGAAATGGAGACCCCAGAAGCAAGAGAAAAGATGGGCATAGAGATGAGCATTGCCCATCCCAACCAAGATAGGGAGTCAAGAGAGAGGCCTCTCCAGACCTTCCCTTCCAGCCAGGCATCCAGCCCCTCTTCTCCAGGAAACCTTCTGCAGTGCCAGCCTCAGGGGCCCAGGATGGCCCCCTCTTTTCCTGTCAGGGCTCCTGTCAATTCTATAAAAAGGACTGTCACCCCCTTCCAGCTGTGGAAGTCAGGACTCCCTAACTGAGGCTGAACTGAGGAAGAGGGTTACACAGTCTCACCTCGGCACCCCCCCAGCCTGAGTCCTGAGGGAGGCTGTGCAGTGGGGCCCTACAGGGTGGAGAGGGAGGTGACCCCTGGGCTCCTACTAGGGGAAAGGTAGACAATTAGGGGCTTTGACCTGGAGGATGTGCCAGAGGGAATTACCTGAGGTTGGAGGGGGAGGGAATGGGGGTGGGTATCCATCAGTCTCTCAGAAGAGAGCAGACAGGTAGAAGAGCCTTCTCAGTGTGAGAGGAACTGTCTCTGAGGAGCCCCACACTGTTCCACTTCAGGATTCTCACTTCAGTCCCTCATGACACCCCCAGCCCAGGCCCCAAGGAATGCCCCTCCCTTCTATATCCTAAGCAGGGCATAAAAGTCCCTTCTGTCACTTCCTCTTCACACTGTGAGAAAGCTGGCATTTTCAGAAAGCCCAGAAAAAACTAAGAGGCCAACACAGAAGTGGGGGGTGGAGGGGGGTGCTCCATTAGAAGCAGAGACAGGTTTGGGGGAGGAATTACTGAGCAAGCCCTAGCTTCTTACCCCCAGACACTAACCACAGACCCTCAGCCCAGCTGAAAACCTCACCTCTTTTCTTCTTTTGAGAGCTCCCAGCCTCCTGAATAGCCTTTTGCATCCTCCCTTGCAGAAGAAGGCTTTTGGCTCCATGCCAGGGGATCTTTAGTAGCCATGACTGGTGGTGGCAGGTAGGGCAGTGCTGTTTAGTGGTTACGATCATGGGCTAAAACCAGATTGCCTGTGTTCAAATCCCTGCTCCACTGACTAGCTAGAACGTGGGCAAGTTACTCAACTTCTCTGGATTTAGTTTCTTTGTCTTTGAATGAAATAATCATTGTCCCTACATCTTTAACCCCCAGGGCTGGAACTCTTCCTCAGGCTCGAGAGAAGGGAGAACTGGGTTCAGGAAACTCCACGTGGGAATGGCCGAAGGTTGAGCAGGGCTAGGCGGGGAAAACAGGGAAGGAAGACCTAAAGCCGAGTTTGGCCTATGTTCTCACACCTGGCACTTGCAGGCCTTAGGTCTGGTCCCGCTGGGCTCTGGAAATGGCCCAAGTCCAGTTCCCAGGCCTTTGTCCAGATTGGCACAGCATCAGGCTGCTCTCCAGGCTCAGAGCCTCCGCGTGCCTGGCAGGCTGGGCTGCCACCTTGTGGCCATGCCTGGAAACTAACCTAAACTGGGCACCGGCACAGTAGCTTGGAGGGCAGCCCGGCTAAGAGTAAGTGTGGGGCTGGCAGAACAGACCACCTCTCCACAGTGGGCAGGGGAGAGCAAGCCTAGAGGCATTGCCATGGGAAATTTATGAACTTGGGCCAGGGTGGGGTATACAGCTGTTCCTTCCAGCCAGCTGAGGGGTAGGAGCTCCCAGATGTCACAGGCCATGGGAAGCCCAGAAAGCTTGAGTGAAGAACACTCTCGGGATGCGGGGAGGTGTCTACGGCAGGATTCCTCAGCATCTGCACCACTGGCATTTGGGCCAGGTAATTCTTTGCTGGGGAAACTGTGCTGAGCATCTGAGGAGGTTTAGCAGGGCTCTGTCCGCTAGATGTCATCAGAAGCTTCTTTCCCAGTTGTGATTATCCAAAAAACCTACAGAC